AACAAAGGACATTCAAGAGCCTGAAACGCCTTTAGTACAGTCAGGTAAACAAAATATGTCATTAATAATTCTTAACAACATGCAGTTCATCCTAAATGGATCGGTTGGACTGAACTTGTTTTCTGTGTAGTAACATTAGGCCAGAAATAGCTAAAGAGACTGTCATCTCAACATGGATTAGTCACATCTGATCCTCTTAATGCGATCAGTGCTGGTGCAAATACCTATCAGTAGCATCCCTATGTAAAATAATGCAGTTTATTCTGGGTAAAGTAGTAGTGCATAATATTACTTTGGTATACATTTATTTTTTAACAGGCCTGTGGGACAGATGAATTCCAACACCATGGCCAATGCTTTTTTTTTTTTTTTTTGTATAATTAGATTTTCATTATATGAGAGCTTGAAAAGACTGGTCTCTGTCTGGAGTTTTTCCCGTCGTTACATCAGGATGCTTTGATTCACCAGTAGCTCATTTAACAATCGGACATGTCTCAAAATTAATAACTAAAAGTCTAACAAAGACTTTGACTCAGATTTGATTATATATATCTACATTTTTATACTATTTCATCCATCTGACAGGAAATTACCCTACATGATGTCATCACATGTTGTACTAGAGCTTGGCAATAAAACACGATCAATTATTATCATAAAATAATTTTTAACAATAGTTTTTTACCAAACGCTCAATATATATAACGATATACATTGCAGTGTGGAAGTGTTTGTCATTTTCTGATCATAAAGACATGTTTAAAACCACAACATTCAATCAGGTGCAAAAGACATAAACATGTCATGACATCTTCTCAAGATAATTATTGATATCGACATGACATTTTTTAATCGTGATATCATTTTTGACCATGCCGCACAGCCCTATATAGTATACACAAGCCTTTTAAATGTCAGGTGAGTTAGAATAGTGTGGTTAGTCAGGAAGCAACTGTTAGAAAACGATGTCAGGTTAACAAGGGAAATCTCTAAGACAAACAAACAAAGGAACAAACAAACATTTGTCTTCCTCTCAGGAGCCTCAGACTCACACAGACACAAGCCTTCACTGCTTTGTCAAAGTGAAGCAAAATGAAAGAGGGAATTAAATTGCTGCTGAAAACCAATCAACATCATTACGCCTCTGAAGAGTTTAAATGAGGAACATAAATAGAAGGAAAAGAATCAATCTCCTGCACTTCAAAACAGTCAACAATCAATGGATTGCAGAGTGAAAAAGAAAGAGTCACTCCATTAATCTACTTCTCATTTCATCCCAATCAAGGTCAGAGGTAGGAAAAGTGGATATGAGATTTTTATAACATGCATAAAAAGCATGGCATTAAGCTCACTGAGAGTGAAATCGAGCCAGTCTTACTTGTACAAACTAGGGTTCCAGGAAGGGTGGGGAAGAGTCAAAACACAAGGGTATGGGAAGAACGAATGTGGACACATAGAAGGGAAAATGCCATTAGGATTCAATCAGCTGGTCAGTAAAAAGCCAAGACAAGAATAAAGCAAAGTCAGACCAGCATCACTTGACTGTTTACATACTGCTCACTGCCCAATAGCACTGTTTAAAGAACTATACTACCACTAAATCCAGGGGGCTGCTTGGTCACAGTGAGATTAGACAGGAGTCACAAAACCATCATCAGTACAGAGATTTTGTTACCTGTTATCTAGATTGTACTCTGTGTCTCTTTGGGAGAAAGGTTTACTTAACTTCCCTTACTCACACCTGCCCCTATGAAAATGAGCAGATATACTAACACGTTCAAGTATTGAACACGTGTGAAACAGTATTTTAAAATGACTGTTCTCTTCTACGAAACATGACCCTGACACAATGTCATGGAAACTAAAACTTGTCATAACGTGAAAATAGTCTTTACACAGTGAGCATCAATAATGCAGTTTACAAAACAGTCCTGGTAAGAGAAATCCTCCTCTGTCAAAATTATAATGTTCATTGTTTTGTTAAACAAGTGTTAAATGAACAGTTTGATTGTGTATTGCTATGATTTTTCCCCACTGCAACTATTTTGCCCAGTTGAATTAACACCTCTTTAACATGTTTTCTGCAAACCTGATCAACGCCTCCATCATGGTGGGTTTGATTGCAGGATTATTGAATTAGTTTTAGGTGGATTTATCTAATACAGTGACTATATGACCACTTCCCTACGTCTTGACTTCCTGGTGCTAGGTGCTCAGTGAATAACCTTTAGATAAATTGCTCTACAGACCTAGCTAGCTCAACACACACTGTAATATCATCAATAGCAGCTCAGTTTCACCATTGGGTGACATAATATACTTGCATGCATGACTACACTATTATTAGCCTGTAAGCACGTATGATTACGTGTATTTTTCCATGGCAGACCTAATGCACATTGAACAAAATGAATAAGCCAGTAGACTGCCCAAATTATTACGTGTTACCATTTGTTAGCTCGTTGTGTTAGCTTAGTTTGCAGGGAGTTAGCTCAGTCCGCTCACCATCATCACACCCAGTGAAAACGAACCGTCCACTTACCGACTCAAACTGAGCCTGGTCGTCCTCTGGAAGGTCTCCGGTCTCGTACACGTCCGGTTCGTTAAAGGCCTGAAGACACAACGAGGTAAACAACACAGCAAAGCATCAGATGTGTCCCGTTTATTGTCGTTAGCCTCGGCCAACGCCCCGGCCCATCCAGCAACACGTACCCAACAAGCTAGCCTCCCTCTCTGGGTGGCTCGTACCACAACACACAACACCACCGGGAAGTTATTAACATTATAGAGTTATTAGTTAGCATATGGAAAACCCAGACAATAAGAAAAGCAGTGGTGTCAGCTAAGCTAGCGCTGCCAAGTAGCAACACAGCTAGCCTCCCTGCTAGCATTAGCCACTTACAATTCCCGGCAAGTTCGCGTATTTAGGATCAGCCATTGTCAGCGGGGGCCTCAGAAATAACCACCAGAGGAAACAACAACCGGGTTTCAAACGTGTAGATGATCGATGGAGCGTGTGGGAGAACCAGAGGAGCTGAGGGGGGATGAGGCAGCAGAGTCTCTTCCAGCCCGATGTGGTCACTGCTCGATTTGACAGCGTGGACGTTGGGTTTATCTCAGGCGCGGGCGCGCGGGCGGGCGGGACGTGCTGTGTACGCGGAAGTCATCGCAAGGGAGCTGGACGGTCGACCAGCGTGAGCAAAACAAACACCCCCCGTGAATGTGGAGCGTTCATGTGACCAAAACGATAAAACTGCAGCTGTGTGTAGTTTGAGCATCGTTTTGTTTGAGTTTTCATTCAAACATTATATTTACTTTAGCTCTGATGGTGTGTTTGAACAATTTGCTCCAACAATTACATTAATGTGTCTTTCTTAACGTGGTTGAATTGTAACAAAGAGGTCACACGGTGGCGCTAAAGGCACGAGCAAGCGCCTCAGTCAATGGGCCAAAGATGGTCGATTAAAATGATAGGAAATAATCCCCTCCTCGTATAAAAGGGGTCAGAAAGTATTACAAGGTCATCTTGTTTATTTCAGATCTCAATTTATTTTGCATTTTTACTTTTATTGTCAATGTTTTACCAAAGCTTACTTTTTGTTGAACACATAGAGGAGAAAAGAAATACATAGAATTATTTTAGTCATTGGCAAAATACTCTCAAATTAAAACTCTATATTAATGTGTTGCCATAGTAATTGTAATACAGTGAGCATTTTTTGTTTTAATATGATTTGAATGTCTTATATTGATAATTTAATTACTACAAGAAAAAAGTGCATGGAAATATCGAACATACTGCACAATATGTATTATTTAGTCTCACATACACGCAGTGAAAGTGACAGCATTACAGTAACTGGTCATTTGGTATCACTCTGGATATGTGTCATTTGCTGTCACTGAACCTTGAAAGAAATTTGCTCTTCTTCCTGCTATTGATTTAATTTGACTCCTACTGCGGCCAAATCACATGATTAGACAACTCATGTATTCTTATTTGTGACCTCAAGGCTACTTCAAGAACAATGGAAGCACTTATCAAAGCCAGCCAAAGAAATCTCTCATAAAAAAAGAAGCTGCAATGGCAAAACTACAGTAAAACCACAAGCGATATGTCACAACATTGAGGACACCAGGGTTTATTCCTTGGATTATGTTTTGTATGCAGTTGGATCAGTTGTCTTTAAAATTTTAACTGCAAATGTATTCATTTTCAGCATAAGCCTTTCATTGTTCATTATTCTTTATTATTCATGTCATATTAACTTGTACATACTGGTGGATTTTCTTTCTGTAAGCACGCACCACCATATTTACACATTTACTGTTTACTCATCATAATGAATAATAAGTCTGATGCGAAAACACGTCTTCAGTGGAGCTTGACATTTACCACAAAGGCAAGTTTGATGAGAAACAACTTTATTAACAGTCAGGTCAGGATTACATTGAGTTTGATGGTTTATTTCTGTCATCTATTTTGTAGATTTCGTAACTTCAGTGCAGGGCTGCATTAATGGAGAGCCCTTTAAATCTCTCGGCAAAAAATAAATGATGAAGCCTTTGGTTCCCACATGACTATTCAACCATGCAAAACAGCATTGCTATGGCGACCAGTTTGGTGCAGACGTGGAGGAAGAGAAAAAAAAAATTAAAGATGCTCTCCTCAACTCTCACAACTACCCGGCTTCAGAAAACATCTCACCAGATGTTGACAGTACTTGCAGATTTTGTGCTAGTTGCAGAATTTGAACCTGGAGTCTCTGAACTTCCAGGTGGAGGGTCTAGCAGGAATAAAAAGCAGAGCTCTTGCCCCTGCTCCTCCTCTGTGCCTCCTCTGCTCTGTGGTGCTGATGAGAGTCAGAGTTGACCACGCCCCCAGTGAGGGAGCAGGGATGACGGGGAGGAGAGGGCGTGCTCCCGAGGAAGCCTGCAGCCTATCCACTCACTGTGGACTCTACTCTACATTCACAACTCTGCATCTGCTGTCAGCTGCACCCGAGTTTGCTCCTTTTTAAAAACGGGTAACACTCGGATGTGCGTTCTTTTGTTTTAGTTTCTGTAATGAATTCCGGCTGTCAAAACTCGTAGTAGTCCATCCTTTTTTCCAAATGCCTCGCCTGCCAGTGTCGCTCTGCATGTGGGTATAGCCGATGCCTCCAACCTGCGCCCTGGAGAAGACCACACGGGATTTATTTAAATAATCTTTTATAAATTCCTCCTTTTTATTTTGGAAGCGCATCAACCTTTTTTCTTCCTCCAATAATGGCTGATGCGAATGCAGAATGCAATATCAAGGTGTTGTGTCGATTTCGTCCGATGAACCAGTCCGAAATTATCCGAGGAGATAAGTTCATCCCAATATTTCAAGGAGAAGACACTGTCATCCTCGGGGTAAGTTATTTCCATCGATTCGATCTTCTTGGGTTTTTCCTCCATGCAGACCATAAACGTTAACGCTAGGGGGGTTGTACTTTTCATCTGCCACACACGTTTTAAAAAAAATACAATACTGTCCAGACAGGACTGGTGGCTGTGAATGCATCTGGATCTAACTAAGTATAAAACGTATCAATATTCTGATCAGCATCAGTCAGGTGTGTGCTGCTGCTGCTCCTCCTGCTGCTGCTGCCTCCCAAAACCTGTCACTGAGCCATGCAGAGGAAAAGGAGCCTGGTCCTAAAGGAACAGACAAAGATCATGCAATGTTTTTAGATGATATGCCAGTGTCATTTATTTCTTTTCCCCCCATCGATAAATCCCACAATCTTGAATTTTGACAGCATTTTCATAAAAATAAAAGTCAAAAACTCATCAGATGCATCCCTACCCCACCACTGTGCTTCACTATTTTTCTTCTTCTTCTGTGGTATTGATTTGCAGGATTTGGTTTGTTCTACTGTCTCAGACAATTATGTAGGACTGACTGATGTTGCTGATGGTTCTAACAGACAGCTTCAAACGCACCAATGCATCATCAGGTGCTGCAGATTTTAACCAGAGTCTTAATTATGCTCTGTGGGTTGCTTCTCTCCTGCGAAATGGATCTGGAAAGCAGCTGATGATTGCTGTCACTTGCTTTGGAGCAGCAATGAAAATGCAAACGAACCAAAATATATAATGTTTACCAGCTTGATGAATACACACACCGGAGGCTGAGGTTAACAGGTTGATTGCGATCGCTCCATCTGTGACATTTGAACAAAAGGACTGGCCTGCAAGAGGAAGATTAGAAATGCAGTGATGCAAATATGCTTGTTGCTTGGATGTAAAGCACATCTGGGCTGAGGCTAACACACACACACACACACACACANCACACACACACACACACACACACACACACACACAGATGCTTGCACAAACATATATACAGGAATGGACACATATGCATTTGAAACACACACATATGAGTTACACACACATGACACAGCTGCTCTCACATGCACACTCATTCACACACACAAACACAGATTGAGCGAGAGAGAGAGATCCACACCCATTTGGCCTGGGGCTTGACTTTCAGTGATAATAAAGATGGCAGGAAAGTCCCTATCGGCTCATTCTGTCACACACCTTGCATACACACACTCATGCGCATTGAAATGCAGGACCTTGCTTGGGTAGATATCCCCATGTGACTGTCTTGTATATGCCGGCTGCATGTAGCAGCAGGATGTCTTCCACAAACAGATTGAATTCTCATTATCACATTATTTGGATGCTCTTTGAGGATGGCAGGTTGACATTACAGCAGCTTGAAATCATTCTTTCTCACATCAATCCTGGAAACTGTTTACTGTTAATGCAATCTGGTTGTTGTCGAAGACATCAATTTTAAATGGTAACCATGGTAGATTGTGAAATGATTGAAACTAGTGTATTTTAGTTTCAAATGTTACAGATTATCTTCATCTCTTCCTCAAATAATGTTTTTGATGCCACTTTTGTTTTATTCAGGTTATACTGGAAATGGATGCTCCACATTTACCTACAGATGGAGAGATTTGAATGGAGATGAAATCGTATTACCCAACTGTGGGATCTGGGATCTGCCACTATGAAAAAAACATAATCACTGCTCCCCTGTTGTTCCCTACCAACACTTGTATGGCAGCAGGAGCCTTCAAAACTGATAATGTCTGGAAACAAAAGCGTGCAGCTCTTAGCTCATATATCCAGTCATGCACTAATTGCCCCTCAGTTTCCTTCTATTCAGATGAATGCAATCACAAAAAGGCTGTGTGCTGTTTCATCTTTGTGAATGTAATTACTTGGGAGGCCTGTAGGATGTGATTGGCTTTTAGGTGTGCAAATGTATTCCAAGTGCGTGTTTTTCTTCTTTTGTATCTCTGGCATGCTCTTACAGGGACAAAAAAAGTCTCCAGAAATTGAAATTCTGTGTCAGTCAAATAGAATCTTGATTTAAAATATCAGGCGAGGCATGCTGCTGCGACCCTGTAGATACAAGCAAGTGCTCACATTCAGACCATTGATAAAAAACTATTTGGACCTGGGCAGCGCTGATGGCCCCACAATTGTCTGCCTGAGGAAGACTTCTTCTCCTTCAGAACTCATTGACAGAGGCAGTGATTTGTGCTGTTGAGTGATGGCTCGACTGCACCTGGGTGGAAGGAGACTTGGGGAGATTAAAGACGGAGGAAAATGGTGTGTCGATGTGTTCTGAATTGATGAAGGAAGGTTTTTGGGTGATGGCTGACTGGGGACATGTGTAGTGTGTTCTTACCAGAGTGAAAAATGGAAGGCATGGATGTGAATTTTGATGACTTGAACTTGGAGTGGCACTTGAAGTTGACACAGCAGCTAATATATTGATATTGATAGGAGCATCAGCCAATATCAAATCCATCCATTATTTATTCATCCATTATCTATGCTGCTTATCCGTTGAGGGTTGCAGGGGAGCTGGAGCCAATCCCAGCAGACATGTATCAGTGTACACGGCCTACATATAGAGACAAACTGTTTACTCTCACATTCACACATACGGTAGATTTAAAGTCTCCAATGAACCTAAACCTAATCTGCATGTCTTTGGAATGTGGGAATAAGCCTGAGTACGTGGAGAAAACACAAGGAGAACATACAAACTCCACACAAAAAGACCCAGGCCCAATCCGCATTCAAACCCTGAACCTTCTTGCAGTGAGAAGACAGTGCACCACTGTGCCGCTATTAAATAAATAAAAGATATGTTAAAATAAATAAAACCTGAACACACAAAATGTTTAAATTAGACATTAGCACCTGTAGGGAGATAATCAGCACCAGCAGCGAACCGCTAATTGTATCTGAAATGCAGTTGTTATGTGTTCTAACAAGGATCATTTACACTAAAGTAAGACTGTGTAACATTTGCTGAACTGTGACCATTGTCAACATGAATGAGAACTCGTGGTGAACTTCAGTTGTCACAAAAACTCAAAAGGTTTTAATTTGTCCAGTTTGGACGACAGTAAAAGAACATGGCGGCCTCCACAGAGAGGACCCCCCTCCATGTAAATATAAAGATTTTAGATATAAAGACATTCTCATTCATTCAGATGGATGGATTTGTGAGGGGCATATTCTATTATTTCCTCCTTCAAAACTTCTATGGTTTTGCGTAAAAACAGTGTTTAACAGTTGCCGGTTTACATCCAGCAAACACAGAGGAACATTGGCATTCTTTAGAGTGTCACACCGCGTTTATGTTTTCAGGTTTCCAAACTCCTGGGGAAAACATTTGGCTCTTCAGCTGCCAAATCCTCCACTTGTGTGTTGAACAGCTGGATTACAAGCCCAAATCTGCCTTTCTGTTGTGGGCAGGTAGCAAACAGTGGGATTGTGGGAGCGTTTTGCTCACTGCCTGCCGCAGATGGAAATGAGGCTGATGAGAGCAATGAAACCTGAATCCAAACAATAAAGTTGTGGCCTATAAAAACCACAACAATGAGCTAAAAGATGCTAAAAACCCTCCATTGAAACTGAGCAGAACTACAGAGAAGGGTGATGATAATTTAAATCAGTAGAAACTTAATGATAACGAGTAAATAAGAATTAAAGTAGGATTTATTGTGAACATAGAAATAGTCTTTGGCAGAGTGACTCCAGCAGGAAGCAGTCCTATGTTGGGACGTCTCATGAAAGCCGGTTGGACGGTTGAACAGTGATGACCTGGTATCCAGAGTTGAGGTGGTGCAGGGGTGGTGGTGGTGGGTGGCTCAGTAATCACAGTGCAGAACTGACAGCTGAATCACAGGAGAGAGAGATTTTAAACGCTGACAGCTCAGGGGGGATCGGCTCAAGGCGAGCGTGTCAGGTTATGATTGGTTGACAAGAGAGAATGGGCAGGGGGGGCCTCGAGAAAGCAGAAAGTGTACGTGGGTAACCCCGCTCAGAAAGGCGATTGACACCTTTCCCATTTTGTTTTCCCTCCTGGTGAAATGATTTCAATGTTACAAATGCACAGACAACTGAGGCACACTCACACCTCACTGTCTTGCCAAATTGGCGCTTTCACCCAGGTGTCATGTTTCTGTCACTGCCGATCGGAGCCAGACAAAAGCCAGATGTTAGTGGCTGTTTTGACCAGTGGAAAAGGGGCTTCAGGAGGAAAGACTAAACTTCATGTTACTTAATTTACACCAAAACTAGCTGGGGTATACACAGTTTTTTTTAAACGTTGGTAAACCTTCTAAAAAAGCTAAACTCTTTTTCCATTGCCAGTAGAGATGTGATGAACGCACTGAAAACTGAGGAGCTCTCTCACCTCCCTGTTCTTTTTTAAATTATTGATTTGTTTTAAACTCGGGATGGAACTTCATAACAAAGAACTCAACTCTGTTTTTACTATTTGACTCTCACTTACTATACTTTTCATATAGTGAGGACTTAAGGATCGACTGGAGTTTGAGATTTGGGGACCTCACCACAATAATCTCTTCTTGCTCCATCCCCTTGACACCAGTAGTGAAGAATAAGCTGAAGCAGCAGTAGTGCAACAAGCAGCAGCACAATCACCAGAGTACAGTGCAGAATCCTTCAATCATCCCTGAACCCGGAGCAGCAAATGTTTCATCATAAAAGACTCGGATTTGTATTTGAATGAAACACAGAACCCAGAACAAGCTTTTGCTGCACATCCACAAGCGACACACACTTTCCTCTGCATCTCTTTGTGTTTGACCTGTGTGACACAAAATATGAATGTGTTTTTACTATCATCACATTCTCATTTCTTTTTTTTCTCCCTTTCTTCTTTTCATCTGACATGCTTAACCACCTGTGGAGCCCCCGCAGCGCTCCGTAGCTATGTGACAGTAATAACCGTACTCAGCCTGCACTGCACTAGGGCATGGCCTTTTTGTTTGTTCCACAGCAGATTGACACAG